AATTATATACAATATGCTTCACTAGATCCTTTTGTCCTTTGGATACATTTAGCAGCTTTTGACCAGATAAGGCATATTTGTCCTCAGGATACAAACCAATAATTCAATCCTGAATTGAGATCTATGGCCACCCATTTGTTCCAGCCCACACTAGGAGTCTCTGTGATAGTCTGAATTGTTTATCACACTGGGAAAAAAGGGCAAAAAAAAAAAGAAATGAAAGAAAAAAAAAAAAACAACTTTTTTTTTTTTTCTTTGCACCTCAGGAATAATAATTTGTCAGCAATGAGGATGTTCTAAATAAACTTACGTAACTGTACGTTTGAATCCTGCGATGGGCTTTAAATGCAAAACCAAAATCAAAGGCCTTGAAAACAGTTTCGTATGTCGCGTGCCTTCCTGACCTTTTAATTCACTCCGAATTTTTATTTACGTCGACTTGATTTTTCTCACGAAGCATGGCAGTGTATATACGCTTTTATTACTGTATACGTTTAAGTATCTTCTAGCATATCAGGGCTATTCATACAGCACAGTAACTCGCGGATTAAAGAACAAACCCCCCATAAATTGCAGTGCAGTCAGTAAAAAGATGCCACAGAAAAAGTGTCCCTGGGAAATTAGATTGACCCAAAGAAAAGCAAATAAAAGAAAGGAAAAGGCCCATATTTTCTTTGCGGTGTTGCTGAAAAGGATGGGAGTATCATTTTCATAGTGGAATAATGTTTTCTGGGAAAACACAAAAGCAGATGTTCCTCATTAGGAACACCCATTGTCTACATATCACAACTATGAACAGATAAATCTATCCTATTTCACCCATACATTCCAATGGCTGTAAATGATTACAGGATGCCGCAGTAACTGCTAAACCAAAACCACACTGTGTGCTAAAATAATTCCTCCGTGCCATCAGAATATATTTTATTAGAAGGTATGGAAATTCCTGGTAAGATACATCCTCCTGCCTTTTCCTTTCCTTGTTTGGCTTGAATGTATGTGAAGGCTCGGTGTCCAACTGTTGAAAACTGAAAAGAGTGATTGTGGAGGAGCAGGGAAGGCAGGATTACATTACTATCCAAACATGAAGTGGCAGCTCACTAGCGAGGCAGTGGCAGGTCTGCCCGTGCGCGCTGGATGTGCTTGCAGCGTGTTGCGGTAGCATGCTCTGCACCGCTTTTCCAGATGGTCCTATCACAGTCCTACTGCTAGCTGGCATCTCCGTGGGCAGTAAATGCCCCCCTCCCCAATAAATCTGGCATTATTCTATAGAGTTTAGGAGACTTATCATTCCAAGTGTGTCCTACTTTCCTGTATGGAAGCCAGACATCTGTTTATCCCATTTCTTTCATACGGAGTTTGGAATAGCTTTAGTTTGGGGGAATAAAAAGTTTTGTCATATTTAACAGCTGTTACAAAATTTCAATCCTGTAGGCTCTTAAAATACTTTTCGGCTGACCTCAGATTTTGTACATAATTGACATTGCTGGGAGACACCCCCTTAACCTTTCGCTGTCTGTAATTTCAGATGATTTTCAGCAAAGGAGTCGACCGCTCGCGCGAGGGGGTTTTTACACCGGGTTCCCGGGGAAGAGCTTTAATTCATTTATACTCCAGGTTTACACCTTTAAAGTGATTGTGGAGCGGTAGCTGAAGACTGATTGGAGTTTTTTTTTAGTCAACAGTGTTTCCTTTCACTTCCTGTCACAAAGGTCACCGAAAGCCGACCTTTGCTGGCAGTCCTAGGCACTGAATTATTCATGTGATTGACTTTTTGTCAGTGCACACAGTTGTGCTCTGGGACATTTTATTCATTTACCTCATTTAAAGCGCCTTTCTGCACCTGTTCAAGTATTAATATCATGTAATTTGGGCCTAATGCCGATTTTGCTGAACACTCATTATATTTTTTATTAGCTATATTTCCAAACGATTATGTATGATTATTACCAAGCCTTACAAACAGCAATGGGTTATTCCCTAGACCTTTACATCTTCTTGTCAGGTTGTTTTCAGAAGCAAGGAGGATAAACATTTGACCAGTCCCAATGTTTTTATTCCTACTCCATATCCAACCAGAGAACTTAAAGCTTTTTCCCTTATGGCTTTGCGAAAGCATGATTAAATCCAACTCTGCAGAAGCTGTACAAATGCCAGCATTTATAAGGTCAACGCTTTTGTTAAAAATGCTATGTAAATGAGGATCTGCAAAAAGGGACATTAAATAAAATTAAATTCATTGTCTTCTTTAATGTCATTTACATTTTGGCTAAGCCCTGGCCTGTCAAGGAGGATTTTTTAAATAATTTTAATTACACATCATTTAGGGATCCAAGGTTTTCTATTCAGTAGCATTTGGATAACCTGCAAAATGGTGACTGTTTATTAACTTCTTAAATGACAACTTGTCATTTCATCTGCATAATGCAATGAAAACAGAGCAGTTTGGGCTCTTTTTTTTTTTTTTTTTTTTTTTCAATTCTTATTTTCCTATAAGATG